GATGTAGATTGGCGTAGACAGACTTTTTCCCAGATCTCAGACAATAAAGCATCGACATAGATAGGTAAGAATTAGGAATAGCTTTGGATTTCGTTAGGTTGCACAAACAGGGTTTAGTAAAAAATCATAGTCACCGATCAAGATAGATTTGTGACGATCGAAAAGGGACGAGATCGGAATGATACTTGAGCAAAGTGTTTGAAAGCAAGACATGCTAATACTTACACGAGCTGAAGAATTGACTTCTGGACGGCCGGAAATTTATCGTATTTGTCTGACATTTTGGTGGTAGTACGGGCCATGCGAGGTGTACCATTGCTTAATACCTAGAAGAGTGCCTGAGGCATTCTTCACCTAGACTATTACTTTACCTAGGTAAAAGGCAAACTGTATACCGGATTTGATTTTCGCCACCTTGGGTTTTGGGGAAAGCTAACTCGTACCTCAGGTTGGCATTGCTGTTTCGTTCTCTAGCGCGCGGCCTGACCACCAGCCCGGAGTGAGGGTCACTGGAGGGTGACGATACTTGGCCCCATTCTCCAGAAGGTATTGCGTATAAATACTGGAGTATTTATGTTAGTGTTTGGAGTCAGAGTGCCAGAGTACTACCCTCGGAGTATCAGAAGAGTGTAACCTTCCTCATCCGACTATGTACTCGTATTGCTGGGTTGTAACGTAATCTTTGGGGATAGATTGTAGACAATCAGTCGTAGGAGGCTTAGTCGATCATTCTTGCGACGATTCGCTAGTATTTAATGGGATGATGTTGTTGGCGGCGTATCCATCATTGGCTGCGTCTTAGTGCCACACATGAAGCGAGAACCCGCCCGTCTTTTGCCTTTGCAGTGGCATTCTCATCACTGCCAGGCACTTACAATTCACTTTCTTGTGTTCTGGCGCCGCATCCACCGCCTATTAAGTGGTCAATTTGATTTGCTTTACTTAATTCACTCTGCCTAATCCTTCCATATCGTACTCTTATGGTACAGAGAGGACACTCTAGACCAACCCTTTTACGCCGCGCAACCAATTCCACATTTTCCCACATCCTCTCCCTTTTACTTCCGCCATTATTCCTGCTTATCGCGTTTTTGGATATATACTTTGATCCTCCCCCTTCAACACCCCTCCCTCTCCCCGAAACCTGTACATCACATCTCGTGCGACACTCTTTTGTCATTCTTGATCTCAACACATTTCCTTCATTTCTGAATGCACGGTTGTGCCCTCGATGTTATTTGTTAAGACTCGACTATTGCCGCAACGAATATGTTTTCGCGGCCATCACCAGATCATATGCGCAAGGTCTCTGACCTAGGAACCGAGGTACGTTTGATTTTCTACTGTCTAGTTCCCTGCAAATCCTCTACCACTCGAGTGCTGCATCATGCTATGGTCCCACGAAAAAGCAAGACGCGCAAGCTGGGGCACCAGAATCCAAAGAGCTGTCACCCGTCAAACCAACACCGAGGGAAAACGTACCAACCTCCACTTCAAAATGATCCAGAATTGCCGACTCGATCAGCCTTTTTCGTCTATTCGCGTGCCCATGCGATCTAGGGCAAGACATGCTAGACGCACTGGCCTCCACAATTCGGCTGTCTTGCTTATCTAGGCCCGGCTTAACAGAGAAAGCCTTTACCCTATTCCACATCGACTGCGGCGCTATCCCAATCACAACCCACTTATTTTGTGAATTTCACCCAATCCATTGTTCTCTTTCGGTCACTGGCGTCCGTTGTGTATCTTGCCGGTTATCTTTCCTTGGGCTTACCATTTCATCACCTCATCGTAACTGCTATCTCACTGTCAGCTTGGTACTCATGATCTCGTCACTAATCAATTCATGTCTTAGCGGCCTCGCTCATCATGGGAATCACCCTATCACAGCATGAGGGCTTTTCAACCACCACCACACCGTTCGCCTACGGTGCGCGACACCATGGATCCAGAGTCTTCGGATAGTGATGTATCTGCTGCCGGCTTGGATGGTTCCAGCTTTGCCAGTCCGATAACAACACCAATCCCTTTACCGCCACCACCTTCCAAACATGCATTAGAATCACCCGAGGCTATCGAGGCTCGTCTAAGCGAATTGGCACGGGTCGAAGCACACAACATCAAAAAGTACGACCTCCTCAAAGCGAAGCGTGTTCGAAAGGATGAGAAAATTCGTCGCAAACGCGAAGCTCAAGACAAGAAATGGGCAGCTATTCTGCAAGCTCGCGAGCGTCGCGATGCCAGAATTGAGTCTCGTCGAAGAAGAGAAAATGCAGTATTTTCTCAATTCTTCGACCGTGACTTTGACGAGGAAGATGATGTAAGCTCTAGATCACTTGCTCTACACTGATGCTCACCTTTGAACAGAACTTGCGTCGACGACTGAAGCGTCTGAAACGAGGACTTCCAGCCGAAGAATCTCCCAAACCTGCCTCGCAGACTATTCCTTCGACACGCCCATCGTCAGCGATGTCTCCCACAGGTCCGTCACTTTCGACCATTCCTCCACCTGCCAAACGACATCAAGTCGGCCCTCCAGGTCATTCGCAACCCGAATCGAGACCTTCGACTCAATCTAGCCTGTCTGGTCTGAATTCAACGAGTCAACCAGCGAAAAGTTCCCTGCCGGCTCCTCCGTATTCGTTCTATAGAGATCCCGGTGCGTTTTCCAGGCCATACCAACATGGACCCTCTCCTTCTGCGCATGGGCCTTCTCCATCTCCAACTGCGGCAACAAATGGTCTGAGTCAGACGAGTATCGAACGACCATCCGAGCGACCACCGTTGGGAATTAATACAGTTTCACCGAGACCATATTCAAGTACTCCGTCAGCTGCTACCCCACCCACTACCAATCAGCGACAGACGTCGTCCAGTTACGATACTCGACCACCTCCAACAACCACTTCCTCTGGGTTTGCCTCTGTCAATCCACCACCAGCTTCCGGTTTTGCCACCATCAATCCAAGGTCTACTGCCACCCCACCTTCTTCTCATGTTGCCATGTCAAGACCAACAGAATTGGATTCTAACGAAACACCTGCCAGTCAGGTAGCTAATCAAGGTCTGGACAGCCGTTTCCAGCAATACGGAAATGCCCCGAATAGTGCCTCACCTGCCGGCTCGAGCACTAGCAAAAGAACCCCATCAACGACTCATCCTTACCAGATGTCAGAAGCTTTCGCAAACAGACATCACCATTGTGAGCGAGTTGACAGTCTAAATCGTGGTATCTGGACCTTTTATGGTCTGGGTGGAACGCAAGATAACCAGACTGCACCAGCCGTCGAGATGTATCTGCGATGTAATCATGATGATTGTCGGCGCATAGATTGGCGCACCGTACACGGATTGCAGTGTCACATTGTCAAGAATCATGTACAACCAAAGGGTACGATTGGTAGTCTGGATAAGGCACTCGAGAGATATGGTGTTCCGGTCAAAGAGGTTGAAGACTATGAGCGTGAACATGGAAGAGGTTCGGGAGGTACTATGGCTGATCCGAAGAATCACAAAATCAAGGTCAAGACCAAGGAGGCGTTGGAGACTAAACCTTTTGTCAAGACGAATACTCCAGGTGCTTATGATCCGGAAGCGAGACCTGCTGGCTACAGACCTAGTCCGACCGAGAGTCCTACAGTCTCCGATTCAGTACAGAGAAATCTGTCAGCCAGCACTAATGGTGCACCAGCAGATGAGAAGAAGGTGCTACCACCGCAACCACAACCACAACCACAGCGATCTCCCATCAATCCAAATCCCTTTTCGGCGATCAGATCGAATTGGTTGGGTCCTGGATTCAGAACAGAACCTCCGAGGACGGAACCTGCGAGGACCGAGCCTGAGCCTAAGAAGTTGCAGGGCGATTTTGGGGAGGCAGAAAAGCCGTTGGTGAATGGACTTGCTCAGACCTTGCAACCATCTCAACCCAATACTGCGCATCAGCGGGATTCGAGCACTATTTCCGTGGCTGATACTTCAAAAGCGATTGAGAATGTCACTATTCCACCTGCTGCGCCTGCAGAGGAACCCAAAACACAAGAGAAGGAAATACCTGTCGCTCCTGCCGCACCACAGGAGGCTGCCAAGGACGAAGATGTGCAGATGACCGATGTTGCGGATGAGAAGAAGGACGCTGTGATGAGTGAGGAGAAACCCGAATCAAAGCAACCAGAGGAGGAGTCGCCAGAGGATCATTCCGAAACGATTGTTGTTGATGGCGATGCGAACAAGGATGTCAATGCGTCAAAGCGAATTTTCCAATCACCAGTCATGACAACAGCGACGGTACCAGCAACCACTCCGTCCAGTGCGAGACGGCCAAGTCGGCGATCGAGCGTTGCTAAGTCGGTTGATCCGGATGCGCAGGATGGCAAGAACGAGAATGAAGACAAGGACGAGAAAGAGGCTAAAGATGAGAAGACTGAGAAGGAGACGCCCAAGAGTGAACCGAGACGGTCGATTGGTGGACGAGTGCTTAGGAAGACGAGGGCTTAGGTTGCCTCTGGTGGTGATGGACCTTCCCGAAGAACGAGAAGTAAAAGCAGTGGACCAAGCGAACCCAGAACGAGAAGTAAGAGCAAGGGAGTCTGATGGCGAATGGATATGAAGTGCTTTTGGATTGCGTTACTAGGTTGTACGCTTATTCATGGGATTGGATGGGATGGTAATGCTGGTTTTCGTTTTTTCTGAAGCTCAGGGTCGCGTTGGGGAAGGGATCAAAAAGCAGCAGTGTCAGTGTCTTATTACGTGTTCAGTCACAGTGTACAGAGTATGGGTTCGGTGCATGATCAGCGGAGTATGTCAATCATTGATTGTTTGTGCTTGATATGCAAGATTGAAGTGTGCTTCGATTCAGAATGGCATGACTTAGGTCAGCTTCATAATCTACTTTGCCGCTTTGTCGTATGTTTACAAAACACACCTCTTGACTGAGATATATTCCCATCACCACTGTCCGTTCCAGAAAAGTTGCACAAACAAAAAAAGAAATCAGATGCTGAATTGTATAGGATTCGAACCTACGACCCCAGGTTTATGTGATAAGCTCCCCAGGCTCACCCCGGCCGATAGGCCTGTGCAAAACCTGAGTGGGAGCATATATCCCTGTCGCTCTGACCACTGAGCTAACAACTCGTTTGATGATTGTTGACCAAAACTGCGGGAGTTTAACAATATCAAGACTGAATTACCTGCATGTGCAGTTCAGGTGCCTTCCTGTTCCCTGTTGTCCTCATAACTGCATATCGCCAGTCATGCACGCGCATTGCAGAACGGCGTCGACCATGCAGTGCTGATCATGATACCGTGACATTGCTGCTGTAAAAGCTCACTGAAGCTCGCCATGGCTTCTCTTCCTTCACCAGCCAACTCTCTCTCGCTTCGCTTTTCACCGTATAACACCACCGACACCCGCCCACCCCAACACAAATCCGCTCAAGGCCTCCGAGAACAGCCCACCACCAAGCCATATTTCCCGCCACGCGCCCGCACCCTGACTCCGGCCCATTGCTTCCTCATTCTTAAGTCCTCTCGTCCCTGCCGCTCCAGCAAAGTATTTCTGCGGATTTGCACCCGCGAGCAAGAAATAGAACAGCGCCGATAACAGCAGATTCGAGGCGAGGTAGAAGCCGAAGCCGTATAACGATTCGAGGCCCAGGATCCCGGCGGCGATGCCTAATAGGAGACCTGATATTGAGCGGATGTTGGAGAGGGTCTCAGCAGGCTGTTAGTACGATACAAGCAGGCTTGTCAGGGGATGAGGCTTACTCTTGTGTTGTGCGTGAGAGATTCAGGGACCAATGGGTCCAGGAGGAGGGATAATTCTTGTGGTGAGGGCGCCATCTCTTTGTATCAGCTTGGATCGACTACACTGTGTCAAAGGTATCTGTACAACCTGCAGTCGACATGGAATTGGAGTTGCGTTGCGACAGGACTTGGCAGTTGAACTGGAGATCCACTCTCAAGTCACTGCATGAAACAAATCGCGGGGAAAGACGAAGAAAAGTAAAATGTGCTTTTGATTCGATTTCACAGTTACGGTCATGATGATGAGTTAAACAGCAACACGCTATATGAAAGAGGCATTTCCCAGAATCATCATCAGTTGGCTTGCTCGACGGGGAAAACATGGTAAGGCCGTCACGACACATGTCGAATTGGTAAAGATCTCTCACAAGAACACCAGGTATGTTGTTTGACATCCAAGACCGAAGAACCCAGCTTCAATCTTTCTGTCCATTACAGTTTCCCCTCCTGCTGAGCTTCTCTAACTTGTTCGAATACCTGCGCAGGGTTAGCATACTTCCAAAGTCTTATCGAGTATGGGTAGACTCACCTTTATCATTTTATTCCTCGCACCCAGCGCATTCACTCCACGATTCTCCAATCCCTTGTCGTCCAATTGAACGAGTTCGTCCCACTTCAGATCCTTCAAGTTGTCGGTGTACTTGTGCAGTCGCAATGACCTCAACCACGAGGGGATATCTTGCAGTAAGCTCGGGTCGGTGGGATCCTCAGGAGGTTTCGAACTTCCGCGACGACCACGTGGAGAACGACCACGAGCAATTTCCGAGTGATCAGACAGATAGCCCTCGTTTCCGCCGAAAGAACCCATTTGAGGAAGCATTCCCGACATACCTGCTCCCATCATGATTGGAGCACCATCGTATGCAGCCAAAAATCCATTATGCTGTGGAGAAGCAAATGCCGTTTGTCCTAATGGAGTTTGCAAGCCAGGAATGCCAGGAGAGTTGGGTCGCGAACGACGACCTTGCGCCGCTGCAATCTGTTGTGCTTGAATTGCTGCAACTTGTTGAGCATTCAGTATTTGACCTTGATCATTGACCATGATAGTGTTGATACCTGGGATACCGGTAGAGGTGACTCCCGGTGTCATTGGCTGGGCTGGTTGTGGCTCGTTTGATCGAGCGCGTCGGTACTTCTTTGCGTCATCTAGAGCTATGCGATTGTTCACTGTGGACAACGCAGCTAACTTCATGGCCGTAGCATTGGCAACCATATCGCTATGAGCAGCAGTCTGGTTGAAATTCGGTACCATGGGTGTATTTGTCATCGAGGCCCAGCTTTGATTGCCTACGTTATAGGGTGAAAGAGCTGGAAGATCGCCCAAGGTCGGCTCTGGTGCAGCCAAAGTCGTACTTTGAATGTTACCAGACGCTGTTCCCAACGGACGTGGAGAGCGGAGAGGAGGTTGACTGAATTGACCCATGGGTGGTTGACCCGAAGATGACTTTGGTCGAGAGATAGGCGGTTGATCACCACCTTGACGCCAACTCATTGCGTCGGTCTTGCTGGGAGCAGATATCGTAGGCGCAATCAGTGAGCTGCGATCGCCAATAACAGTACTGTTTCTATTGGATGGAGGTGGATTGCCCGTCTGCTGTGCATATTCGGCCCTTTGTTGTTGAATAGCAGCAACAGCATCGGGAAACATGGCATGAATAGTCGATTGATCCAACCCGGAATTGCGTTTGTTTCCTGCTGGCGAAACTGGTGGACGACCCATCGATGTCCTTCTGTCATCCACGTTCAATTTGGACATCGCATCGCTCAGTCGGCTTGACATTGCATCCTTTTCTCCAAAGTTTGCGGGAGACAGCACTCCAGAAATGGGGTGGCTCTTTGACATTTGATTGAGCACCTGCGCGAAGAATCGTTGTTGCATTTGAGTGGTTTGTTGAATCAGCGCATACGTAGCAGCCGTGCGTTCGGCCTCACTCAGAACTCGAAACCATTGCTCAATAGCACTCAACTCGTCCTTGAAATCCTGATCCAATGTCGCCGCAGCCATCTCTTCCAACATTGTTTCGTATTGTTCGATATCCTGAATCCATTGTTCCCCCAACCTGCTGGAGTCATCCAAACTTCCCTGCTGAGATTGTTGATTGTACAAAACTTCAGAGGCGGGACGAATGGAACGCGCCGAGAGAGGAGAAGTGAAGGACATGTCGGCCGAAGAACGAACAGTCGAACTATGAGTGCCTGAACTACCGATAGTTCTCGAGGTGGGCGGACGTAGTGAGGTCTTTGAAGCCTCGGGTGTGCTATTGCGGTTTCCAATAATATTGCTGGCCATGGCGAAAGGTCACACAGACAGATTCAAATCATGTAACCTGCAGACAAAGAAGCCGAATGGAGCCAGTCCAAAAGGCTATTGACGGAAAGGAGAGTTGACGGACGCGCTGAAGGGTAGTGATCGTTTTGGCGTGGCGGCACACGAGGTGTCTCAGACACTCGAGAAGCCGGAGATGGCAATTAGAAGATACACGCACAAAGACGAGGTGTGAGAAGCCTCTCGAGGAGGGAGTTCGGAGGTGCAGAAAATATAGCACTACGCAGCGAGCTGAAATAAGACACTGGCCGGCGAAAGTGGAACCAATGTGAACCGAACAGCAAAGGCTCCAAAAAAGACAAACGGGGCGGTTTCTTCCACAACTTTGGTATGACTGTCAGTGTCTGTCTATCAACCAAAAGGACGCCTGATTTGCATTTTACCACAACAAACCTTTACTTTCGTTTCACGTGTCAAGAAATCCATCGCTAACCTCAAAACTTGTCCGTATTGTTGAAACACTATTCATCCATCTTTTCCATCCTGACCTGCGCCTCAGTGTGGCGTTAACCTTTCTATTCAGTCTTATTGGATCGTATCACATTCATCCAGCTGGATACTCATCACTTGTATGCCTACCGGCCATCCTATCGCATCGGAGTATTCTGCAGCAAACATTAGACAGTCGATCTCAGCCCGACAACCCCATCTTCATGGACAGTGAATCAGATACGGACATGCAACATTTCGATAGCGGAGGTTGACACGGATTCAATATGGACAACCATCAGTACAACCCTCCTCCTAACACTCCGCTTCCGCCGGCAACGTCAGATCAAACGTCCGGAGCGCACTCTCATGGTGCGTTTAATGATCAGCCTAGGCAAGGGTCGCCTCCCCAGGCTCCACATCATGCATATCAACATCCCAGACAAATGAACCCAAACTACTCCCAAGGCTATCCCCAGCCAAACTATCAACCTATGCAGACCGGACAGCAGAATGTTCAGCATTTGGGACAGATGAACCAACCTATTGAGCGAGGACAGCACAGTTTTCAGCATTCAGGGCAAAACCAACCTTACGTTTTTCCACAATCAGGACAACTCAGTCAGGACAATTTCAACAATCGACCTATCAATAGACCGGCATATTCCAAGTACGATACTTCATCGGATTTCATGCCCAGACAACCACCACATGCTCAGCAGTACCCGAGACCTTTGCTTCACTATCAATCGGAAACGTCCTGGCCAAATTACATGAATAGTCCACCACTGATTCAGTTTCAAGGACCCCCTAAACATGAGCCTTTTGATCCTCGAGTGTTGGCACCTAATTACATTCCTTTTGCCGCACAAAGATCGAATGATACACACATCTCTCGACAAGAGTTTGTGTCGCAACCTGCAGTTCCACGTGCTGCACAATTTCATCTACCTGCTCTAAATCTCTCGAATGTCAGCCGCAATGCTGAATCCGTCACACCTGCATCGACAGATCGTCTTCCTTTTCCGGCTTCAAAGTTGCATGAGTTGGACATTGCACGTGCGGAGAACAATGTTCCAGAAGCAGCAGAGGAGTCGAGCGACGACGAACATTTTCCCGGGGCCGAAACACCCGAGCCAGAGCAGGAGACAGATGCAGAAGATGTTGACACGGGTTCTAAGAAACGAAAAGGCCGTGGCAAGTCATCAGAAAATCAACCACGAAAACGAAGAAAGAAGAAAGGAACAGGCGCTCGTGGCGGTTGGAGTAAAGGTATGAAACTCGGACCCAGACAAGCCATAGATCCTGGTGCCGAATTCAACCAACTACACAGAGAGGCCAACAACGCTTTCATTGATCAAGATACCGACAAGGCTCTGGAGCTCATCTTGAAAGCCATTGCTATCAATCCCGAAATCTACGCGGCTCATTCGCTACTATCAGAAATCTTCTTTACACGAGGTGAAGATGATAAGGCTACTGCTGCTCTCTTTACTGGTGCCCACAGTATTCCAACAGATCCGGACGTATGGGAAAGAGTGGCTCATGCATGTTTGGACCATGCAACTGGTGA